AACAACTCTAATTTAGGCCTACGCTAAAATCACTTTATTCCCGAACTTGTATCTTCTCCACTGCTCAAAACACAACTGAAAGATGGGATCCGAGTGGTGGCTGAAAACCTACCCTCTGTCTATTCTTACAAAGAACGTGTTACTTAAGGCTGGAAGAATAGAGGTAAGTTCACAATAACATCCACACTCCACCCATCCCTTTCAGCCTTGTGTATAGTGTTCTTTTTTATTGCGGGCTTGTCAAAACTAGCCCCAAGCGTGACATTTTGAAGACGCATGCGATACTTAGAATCCCTAAAAGGTTCACTGAACTTAAGGCTGCTAAGGATACACACAGTAAGGGCTAGAGTCGAACTGGCCCCTGCGTTATTGTACCCGTACAAATAAGCTGTGATATGGCCAAGATATCACTACTGCATTTTCGTGTTTCTTTAATTACATCATGATAACGAGATATATTCATATTTTGATACAAATTTGATCTCAATAAACATAATAAAATATGAATGAATATGAAAATTCAATACTACAACAGAATCAGGTGGGGCTTAGCCCCTTTAGCCCCTAATGACGCACCGCCCCTGCCTTGCAGCAAACGAGTGATTTGGCCAAGTCCGGAATGCGTGCGTTGCGTCTGTACACGTTCCTTCCTCTGATCAGTTTAAAATAGCACAAAGCATTGAGAACCATTCAGTGACGTCGAGCTACTACTGCAGCTGCTGTACCACGTATCAATTTGCGTTGTATAGTAAAACCAGAGAAAATAACGCACTGCTGCGCCATAATATGCGTTCAGCAATCTTCAAGTGCTGATGTCACAGTCATTGTGAATTGTAACTACCTACACAGGGCAAAGTTGTTATTAAGGAGCCGATATTTGCTCAGCTGGTTAAACAGTTTCTAGCTGTTATTACACACAAAGTTTCATAACCGTGTTCACAAGTTCTCGCCAGTGGTACCTTTGTGTCTACTAAGCCAGATGAATTCAATCCATATTCGCACATATTTTTGATCAATTTTAATAGGATTTGAGGCTTTCACGGCGGTGACTATGAAGAAAGCAGTCTNTTAATATTTTTATTATTCTCCCACATACTTCTCTATCTTCCATACAATTGCTCCTTCAGGTGCCTGTTCTTTCTACATTTATTACCCCCTACTCTGATCACTTTAATAAAGTTTACCTACAAATTATGGCCCTTCTCATATAATTTTCTCCAGTCTTCTCTCACCTCCTCTCTCTTTGGCACTCTGTAGTTATATATCCCCAATCCATTTTTTGTAATTCGCTTAGTGGGGGGTGAAGCCCGACTGGGTCCACTCGGCACGGCGGTCACTGATTGGCCTATTGTAGCCTGCCCCGGGTGATTATGGTGACGGAGAATTTGGTGGAATGAAGATTGGCAAGGGAAACCGATGTACTCGGAGAAAACCCGCCCCAGCGCCACTTTGCTCACCACAAATCCCACTTGACCAGACACCGGGATCGAACCCGGGCCGCCGCGATGGGAAGTCAGCTCCTCAATCCATGTTCTTCCCTATAGATCGAGACACAAAGCTGCAGATGAAATACCCTGGATAAATTCAGTGTCTGAATGTCTCTTATAGGCGCGGCGACTGAAGCTCGTGTAGAATTACAATGTATGCCCTGACGTATCAGCAGAAACATTACTGTGAACTAAATGAAGCTAGCCTAATATAAGCCATCTCTCTCCATTGATGAACTAGTTTTATTTACGAGTGCACGTGTCTGGTTGTTGTGGGGAATCAACACCTCGCTATAGCTTCACCCTGGGAAAATCTCCATATGGAACTTCGGCTGAAAAACCAGGTCTCCTAATGTCTGTAACTTTTATGATTCCTTCCAAGCAAAGGCCAGGACATTGCCTCAGTTTAAACGATGTCACCTTCATCCGTTACTGAACAAGTCACTCATAGTCATCAAGTCACTTATGCTGCGTTGCAACGAATTTTTATTTATTTTTCTTAGTGGGGTGGGACTAAGTGCCTTGTACTGCGGCCACTTCTGGCCTATTGTACCAGACCCAGATGATAGGTGAGGGTGATTGTGGAGTAACTGGTAGAAGGAAGATTAGCAGGGGAAACCGAAGTACTCGGAGAAAACCCGCCCCAGCGCCCCTTTCCCCACCACAAATCCCCCTTGACCAGACCCGGGATCGAACCCGGGCCGCCGCGGTGGGAAGCCAGCGACTAACCGCTTGAGCTATGGCGCGGCCTCCGTCGCAAAGTAACCTATATAACTGATTATAATATTTCAAGGCGCTATATGAACTGGGCAGTTTGTCCAGTGTCGGTAGGGAAGATAATAAATTTGTAAGAAGACGCTGAGGAAATCGAATATTCCTTGAGAGACCCATGTAAAACGTGAAAACTTGAGTTGTAATAGTTTTGCCGAGATTCGAAACACGTCCTTCCTGGTTGATAATCTGCAATATTATCGCTGTACCAACCTGCTCGGTTAAATTAATTCAGAAAATGGGTAATCATTTCACCGCAGTTGCAGTTAATCGAAAGGGAAGTTGATGAATTTAGCGGTACTGAAATAGTCGGCGGGTACTTTAATCGGCATTAACTTCATTACCTTATTGATCATTTAAAATAGACGGCCTTCTTCATGTCGCATATTCACATAAATACAGGGTGTATCAAAACTCAGCGGCAAAATTTCAGGATCGGACAACATGGTTCCGGAAATGCATAATTACAGTTATCTGACCTTTTGGTAAAGTTAGTGCAATCCAAGACTGTTGCACTGTTACACTGAATACGTCTCTAACACCAGCTGGAACACTATGGTCACGTATCGGAGGAAATGTTCAAAGTGACCTCCTCCTGCTTGAATACAGGTCTCCGCTCGTCATTGCATTGAGTGCCGCACACGATCAAAAATGCCCGGTGTAGTGCGTACTGTCTGACAGGCTGCCACAATGCATGCATGGAGAGTTAGTACATCAACAACAGTAGTCAAAAAACACGACAGACTTTAAGTGTCCCCACAGGTAAAAGTCTAGGGGGTTTAAGTCAGGAGAGCGTGGTGGCCAAGCAATCGGTCCATCTCTACCTATCCAGCGCCCAGGATAATGTGCATTAAGGTGCATGAGGGCAGACAGATTGAAACGTGCGGGAGCACCATCATGAAGTACAGCTGTCGGCGGGATGCTAGTGGCATGTCTTCCAAGTAATCAGGCAATGTAGTACGCAAGAAATCTGTGTAGTTCTGTCCATTAAGCTTGTCCGGAAGAACGTAGGGTCCCAACAAACAGTCACTAACAATGCCTGCCCAGATGTTAATGGCGAACCTCTGTTGATGTGACGATTGGATAGTTGCACGGGAATTTGTGTCCGCTCACATCAAATTCATTGTGTAACAATTGTACCCATGTTGTCAAACACTTTGTTTCTTCCCTCTATATGAGAAGTCCGTTCCTGAAGGCTTGCCGTTGAGTTTTGATACGCCTGTATATGAATATAAATATTGTATATGGAAACATTTTCTGGCAGTTCTGTCATATCGAAATATCATCTTGAACTTATATCAAGAAGCTATATGGCTGACAAGTCTCCCTTCCACCTGTTTCATGAGTATTTTTCGCTTTTCCTTGGTCGTCGCTTATTTATTGCTTGTTCATTTTGGCATAAGAGGCAATTGTTTTATTAAAGCATTTTTGCAGAATCTTAAATAAAAAGACGAGGAAAATAAAGGCCGAGAGATTCTTGTGGAAAGCTAGCAGAAGACATTGCAACCAGGAAGCTTCAGAAGAGGAAGCCAGGGGTTCTGCAAATCTAGTCAGGTATAATACCAACCAGAACATTTCTTGCTTCAGATTTCCAAAGAATTTTTCGTTATTCAGGCAACTGCAGTTCATTCGTAAAGAATTTGAAACAATTAGTTAAATTATCGATCAATATATAACAATAAACAGTTGGATGAACTTAATTTTCGGTAACCTTGTACTTACGGCCTCTTTAGTACACATCTTTATGTCACCAGGCTTAAAACCTGTACAAACCTCTCACTTTATTCACGATCAACCAGCTAAACACAAATATAACTACAGTCCACTTTATCTACAATAATCTGTCACGGAATTCACACATGTTAGAGAAACGGAAGACTATGTTCAGAAAGCGAAATTTTTTTCTTTAACTTGCCTAGGACTAGAGATGGGAGTCTGCAGTCGTATTTTCTAGTAGTACACGAAGTTTCAACACTACTAACACAAAGGCCTGCCACTGGAAGCGATCCCAAGCCAGTTCGAGACATGTCTCGCCCTCATAACCTACCTCCCTGAGATCGATCTCAATGAGCCGTCCCATTTCTTCTCGGTCTTCCATGTGGTCTCTTCATAAAAATTCTGTTTTTATTGCTCTACCATCCGACCTATTAATCCAGTCACCCCATATTTCTAGATTTCATATCCTAGCAATACAAAGTGAACTGCCTTCCTTTGGAGCAACTTGAAATTAGAGATTTTCACGACAATGCCAATGGGCGACGATGCCATGTAGTCTGACAGATGATTATCAACATTCCGGAAGAACGTGCAGCCTCTCTCTGAGGAAGGCAGCAGGTTCCTCCGCAACCCTGGCAACCAGCTACCACATTACATCGTCATAACCTAAAAGATCATAATCTAGTCTTACGGTGTAGTTACTTTTTAAAGATACAGTTTCATTTCAGATTTACTCACCTATCATATATTAGTTCAACGTACCCGAGCCTCCTAAACTGCTCCAGAATTAAAGATGACTTACGGTGGTGTAAATTTCTACAAATTTGTTGTGGGAAAATCTGGAGAAAAGAGTTTGTCTGGGTAACCTGGGCTGGATGAATGGATGATAAGGGTTATTCTAGAAACCGGGTGTGAGGGAGAGGATAGGATTCATCTAGCTTAAGTTAGGAAACATTGTCCTGCTCATGAGCACACGGTAATGGATTTTCAGGTTATATCCCTCTTATTTTGTTTTCTAACACTTACCTAGAGACATGAGGCCACTGTTTAGCATGGAGAGCTTAATGGCGTTGGGAATCGACACAAGGGAGGTACTCCCGCCACTGAGAATTTTCTTCTTCTTAGGCTTCTCCACATCGGTGTATCGCGGAGTGGAACGCGACCGGTGTTTGCGATGGTGATGGTGGCGATGGCTTGTGCCAACACTGCTTGCACCACCCACTGTGCCACTCGCGGCCCCTGCCGTAGTGCTAGTACGAGCCGACAGCTTGTCGCCTATTTTGCTTCACTTGCAGAAACGCGAAACACACGCCGTATGTGTGTGTGTGTTTGTGTCGGTAAACTGCACTCACTTCCCGCCCGACAACAATTCGACTCCTGTCCACTGGCAGTATCTGTTCCAGACTGAGCGCTCTGTTCCACATCCTCCCCACCCCGAGTCACTGCTACACAACTCCGATTTGCCAACGTGCAGGTACTTGCGCTCTGCCTCAATCACGCAACAACAAAAGGAGACCTACTCACCTCCTGCCACTCTGTCACAGTAAAAATTCTTGTGTGTTTGCTCCCCCCTGCCATCTCTGAAGAAATAAACGTATTGACAAGGACAGGATTTTCTTTGTTTATTAACAAATCAATTGGTTCTGTTTACCTTTATTTGGTTCTTAGCTTCTACTATGATTGTTTGAAAAAATTAGTGAAAACAGGCAAAAAAATGTAGTTTGTAACATTCGAAATACGCACTGGGCTCCTTAAAATGAACATGTTATGTTTTCCCGTGTTCAGTTCTATACGTTACTTGTACGAAATGCATAAAGTCAATGCATACCAGAGAGTTGAAGCTGCTGTCCATATTTCTCAGAGCCACTCCACGCATTTAGTTTAAATTTTGGATCTAATATTTTCACTTAACAATTTAAGGAACATTTATAATCATTATAGATAAATTCGTAGCTATTCGTACATTCACGTAATGCTATAACAACACTTCATGAAGTTCCTCAAAATTTTCTCATACAAGAAACATGCAAGGCTATAGGAAATGAATAGGTAGTACGTAATAACGGTGTTATCTGTATTTAAACGTTTTATATAAGATTAATACCCAAATATAATAAAATTAATTTATGTTTCCACCCAATGTAATATATAGTGTAGCCTGGCAACAATATATTTGTGTACTACTTCTACTAGTGGAACGAGGGCGCGTCATCGTCAGTTAGTGACGTAGACCGTTACGTAAATATTTCCACTATTTAGTTAGTTTGCTCCAATTAAATTATAGTGAAAACTGTTGGGTGGAGATTACTACGTAGCTTTGGAAAGCGCTCTACCTGTAATTCTATACTATTGTGTACACAACATTTGGGTGAGAATATATGGTTGGATTTGCAGTGTCTTTTACGTCTTTGTATCGATTAGTGACATTTGATTTCATGAACTGGTATTTATTGAAGACAAGTCCGTTACTCAAAACATGAATGAAGGAACGGAAGAAAGAAAGCATCATCAGGCTTTACTGGCGAAGTGGAGAAATGTTACGAGCTTTCCAGCTACTCAATGGCAAACCCTTTCATACGTTTAAAGGGAAAATTGGAGTGAGAAAACCTTGTACGATGCAAAGAATGAAAGAGTGAAAATAGCAGTGGTTATTTGTCGCTTTCTTTACCAAGATATGTTAAGATGCTGTGGTTACTGTTACCGCTACATTTGTGATGGGTATTAAATTTTGATATGAACTTTATATTTCTAAATGCTCAATAGTTGGAGCAAGTCACAGAATAATATAGATAAATATAAAACTTCACATCGGCGGTGTTGGCACCGAACTCCATCATACAAGCAAAAGCAGCGTACGCTCAGTACCCCCAAAGAGCTGGTTGAGCAAAAGGCTGTGTGAGTTAAGTTTTCATTAGTTATATACAGCAGTGTCAGAAAGGAAACATCCTTATTCTCCAACAAGACAAGAGTATATCACTTCACTCCCGAAAGCCAACGCATCAATATGGAGTGAGACAAATTCCCTTCCCCCAAAAAAAAAAAAAATCTTCGGGGGCACGCGGTAGCATAGTTGGTTGAGGGGCTATGCTACAAGCCGGAAGGTCGCGGGTTCAAGTCCCGATGAGGTCATTGGATTTTTTTTTTAATTCACCTAATCCTTCCAGCCGTACTATGGCCCTGGATTTCACTCAGCCTCTAACAGAAATGAGTACCAGGAATTAAGTTAAAAATTTTCCTGGGGAGTAAAGCGCGGCCGGCGCGTAAGGCTGACCTTACCGCCATATTTGAGCCGATTGTCTAGATAGTGTGGGACCCTCAATGTCTCACAACCCTATGGGCCTTCACGGCCTGGTACAGGGATAGCTTTACTTTATTTTTACGTGATATTCCTTCGGATTTCCTGGAACGAGGCTCTCCAATTAACGATGATCATTTCTGTGATCTACTCTATCTCCCCGAAACAAGGCAAAAGGCCATTTTCCACGATCTTTTGTGTCACGTGTCTAGGGGAACCATTCGTTATAATGAGACACTTTTCATGCAGCAGTGCTCCTGAAATTGAAGCAAGCTCTCAGCAAGCATACTGATCTGCAGGTGAACGCTAAGGATACCTTCACATATTGCCCTCAGATTGCTGGACAAAATTAAAATTAAAAGGCAGATTATGTACTCTCCAGAAATGTCTAATATTCAGATATAAGAAAATGAAAGTAATAAGTAAAAAGGAGATCCGAATGGAACTCACTCAGGCTGTTTGTGTGTTGTAGCAATTTCCAGTCCTACAAATGTTGTGTTAATGTCATACTCAGATACTTTAAATTTATAGTGCAATACTGATCATATCACAAGGTCGAATTTTGGTAAAGTGTTTAATGCTTGGAATNTTGTAAACCTTTGACATATGTTGTGCTTAGACACTGCTTGGTTTGTCTCTAACCTCCAATTGTGTGTTGTCACGTGGGCATGTTGCAATGGAATTTATGTACTTTTTTCGTCAATCTGTCTGTATATTGTTCATTTGTCTTCGTGCTGACTCTGTAATTGGCTACCAGCTGTTGAGTACTGCACGTAAATAAAACCAAGAATTGAATTGAATTGAATTATATTTTCGATTTTCAACTATGCTATTACATAAGTAGACCCCACAGACTTTGCGTAAAATTTGTTGGACATAACCTCAAAATTTCTTACTGTCGCCGTCTAATTGTATTCTTTCATAAATATTACGCTTAAGCATGTTTATGTTGGACCATTTTTAGTACAACCTTATCAAATAGCTTGCTGGTTGTGGACATGGGGCTAATCGGTCTTATATTTTGGGGGAATTTAGGGTCCATACCCTGTTTCGGTAAAATAATAATTTTTGCTTCTTTCCACGTCAGAAGATGCGAGATCCGAAGGCAGTGATTAAATAAATGTGTTAAATGAACCAAATGTTTTCTTGAAAGGTGCCTGAGGCATTAATTTGTAATGCCATCAATTCCGCTGGCCTTTCAAAATTTCAAGGAATTAATTAATTTCAGTAAGTCATATGGCCGTATTCTTTCAGAGGGATTGTTGCTTACAGCTTCGAGTAGAGCTTGAACTCTAGCCTCCACCCGCCGTTTACGGTTTTCTTCAAACAGGTCATGGGGCGTGAACTGATTTTTCCAAGCAGCCAGCAATTGCGTTGGCTTTCTCTCACAGGCGAAATTTAATGCTTAAAGACCATCAATTAGCAGCTGGTGCTCTTGTTCCATCCCTCGTCATGACGGTTACCACAATGGGGCATATAGCTTGAGGTGTGATATAAGAGTTAACTCTCTTCCCTTCCGACTGTTCAAGTGCCTTTCTATGGGGCATTCGCTTAAATGTTTTCGCGACCCAGTTAAATGCCGATTTACATGCTGGATCCTGGTTCCATGCCACAATTTTCTTAACTCCTGCTTCTATTTTAACAAACGAAATCACTGTTTAGCTCCGGAAGTGTAACCTTTCTGGTCGATAACCTACACGCCGAAGCAATAGAGGCTGCGAAGTCGCGCGCTGCTTTATCGACTTCTACCCCCAAGTTAATTTCGAGTCTAGGTGAAATTAAATCAGAGGCTTTGAAATCGCTCCCAATCTGTAAATTTTTGAACAGATTCCGAAAGATTCCTAGTTTTGACATGGTCCAGTAAGTGGAATAACACTGTTCGATGGTCTGAGTCCAGGATACCAGAAACAGCGACATGTGACATTGCTGATGGACCACACTATCCAATGTCACAATTTCCCTCAGGGAAATACTGAGTGGGGTATTGTGGCGCTAAAATTTCGAATCGTTTATGTCAAATAAGGTCAACAGTTTTACGCCTGAAGGGTTTGAAACTTCACTACACCAAATGGACGTTTAGCAATCAGACCAAACGCCAGTGGTTTTATGTTCAAGGCTTAAGAGCTCAGTGATGTCCGCATACATCCAGGTATGACCTGGAGATTTATAAACAGCAGTAGGCGACACTTCACTACTGCCAGTAGGTATGCAGATCCTTATCGCTTCTATTGAAAGAAGGGGAGTAACTTTTTTTAATGCTAGTGGGGTGGGACCAAGTCCCTTGCACTGCGGCCACTTCTGGCGTATTGTACTAGCCCAAGATGATATGTGACGGTGATTGTGGAGTAATTGGTTAAATGAAGATTGGCAGGGGAAACCGAAGTACTCGGATAAAACCTGCCACAGAACCACTTTGTCCACCACAAATCCCACTTGACCAGACCCGGGATCGAACCCGGGCCGCCGCGGTGGGAAGCCAGAGACTAACCGCTTGAGGTATGGTGCGGCCAACAAGGGGAGTAAGACCATATAGTTGTTGAATAAGTATATTTCTAACTGCAACGGCAGTTCAGACTTTTCAACACGGGTAGCCGTCATATGGTGTTGGGGGTAAGGGGTGGAAGCGGTAATCTGGAATAAACAACCTCCAATGAGTAAAAAGAAAAAAAAGTAAAGCTATCCCCCCCTTTTTTTTCATTTCATGCATCCTGTTGTGTTATAATATACAATTTCTTTATTAAAACCGTCACAACACAACAATATTAAGGTCAGTGCCAAGTTTGGCTCTGCTACATGTTTCGGCTATTAAAAGCCATCATCAGGCAAATACATGGTTAACATATATACACCACTGAACTGCAGTACTACTAAAATTGGATACAATAATATTAATTATATTAAAATACTTGGCGTAAAAATATAATAAATTAATATATATATATAATTATATAAACGATTCAGTCGCTGTTTACATTCCCTACGAAACGGACAATACTTTGTAAGATGAGGTATGGACTAAATAATTAACATTAATATTACTACACCTACAGCACGAGCCTCCAAACCAGTTTACACAAAATGTAAAATACTCCAATTTGTCCGAGGGAACACAACAAGATCACAAAAACCAACGACTGACCCGATGTAAAGCATCACTTG